GGTCTGAGGGAGGAAGCTGGGGGGTGGACCCCTGGGTCTGAGGGAGGGGGCTGCGGGGGTGGACCCCTGGGTCTGAGGCCTAGGGGAGGGGAACTCAGGCAGGACTCCTGAGTCTGTGGTCTCTTGTGGCCCTGACCATTCATCCCTCCACCCATCTACAGCCCGGCACATCTGATTCTGATGAGGCCCCAGGCAAGGGAGGTGTGATTAAAAACCCAACCCGCTGTATCTCCAACGAAAGCCCCGATTTCACCTTCCTGGGCTCTTATGATCACTTAGAGACACTCCTGTGGAAGCAAGACATTGAAGAACTAATGGACCCGGAGTCCAGCACTTTATCCTCTTCCTCCTTGGGTCCATCTCCCTACCCACCACCCATGTACCTCTTTCCAACTCGTATCTCTCTTCCTGAGCCCTGTGACAAGGCCAAGAGCATGGCCTCCCGGCAGGGCACAGGCCCACCACTCTCCCACAAGGCCATGCCTGCCCCAACCACGACCCTGAAGGCACCCTTCATCGTAGACCAGTCCCAGAAGGTGCCGGCAATCCCTGCTCCATCCCGGAGGTCCCCAGCAACTCGTGCTCCATTCTGGAAGGCCACAACTGGAGGTGGCCTGTCGCAAAAGCTGCCACCTGCATCAACTGTTTCCCGGAAGACCCCAGCCTTGCCTTACCCGTCCCGGAAGCCTCCAGCCCTGTATTTCCCTCCCCAGAAGACCCTCCCTTCATCTCAGCAGGCCCTGCCTCCCTCTGCTGGTCCCCCTCCCCCACAGACGGAATCGCTCTCACTTGCCCCGTCCCGGAAGGCTCCAGCCTCACTTCCCCAGTACCAGCCGGCAGTTGGCCCGTCCACCTTGCAGAAGGCCACGGCCAAGCCAGAAGTGTTGCCCGTGGGAATTCCTGGAGGGGACATGCTGGAGAGAGGCAGGTCTGAAGAGAAGTCCAAGCCTGTGGTCTTCTTGGGAGCCCAGGAGATAAACAAGGTGGAGATGAGGACCCAGAAGATGTCTCTGGAGCTGCCCTTCACCACCACCAAGAAGGAGTCTGAGGACATCTTGATCAGCAAGGCCCGGGAGCTGGCCCTGGATGGCTTGAGGGGCCGAGGACTGTTGGAGGACAGGGCCTACAGGATGAAGGAGGAGTTGACCCTGGATCTGCCTGGCATGAAGTCCAAGGAGGTGGAGCATCAGAAGAAATGGATCAAGACCAGGGAGGTGGCCATTGAGGGCCCCCCGCAGGAGCAGAGCAGGCCCTTCTCCGTGGAGGGGCTGGCGATGGCCAAGCTGATGATCATAGCCAACTCCAAAGAGAAGCACTTGAGACTGCCTGAGGTCTCACTGCCCTCTTGGCTCTCGGTGGCTTCTGGAACATCCACTGTGTCCACAAAGGCCCCCTTGCCCTTCAGTCCCAGCCAGCTGACCTTCATGGATGGGCCACCAGTGATTGTCAGGGAGCAGCCCGAGTCACACACCTGGGTGAAGGAGGACACGCAGAAGAAATGGACCGAGAAGGAACCACCCTGGGACCCAGTGGAGCCTTCTAAGGTGACCCTCTACTCTGTGCCAGTCTCTGATGGCCCAAAGATAGTCGATGACCCCCAGGTGCCCATCGCCCTGCCTGCCTCAGGGTGGGAAGACTTGACGTCACAATCTCCCCTGGAAGCAGCCCCCATCTCCAGGAGCCCGGGCTCAGTCAGAATCGTGGACTCCATGAGGTCCCCTGGCTCAGTCAGGACCCGGGGCTCACTCAAGTCCCCTGGCTCAGTCAGGACCCGGGGCTCACTCAAGTCCCCTGGCTCAGTCAGGACCCGGGGCTCGCTCAAGTCCCCTGGCTCAGTCAGGATCCGGGGCTCGCTCAAGTCCCCTGGCTCAGTCAGGACTCGAGTCTCACTCAGGATGCCTGGCTCAGTCAAGACGCCCGCCACAGTCAGTGAGCTTGGCTCAGTCAAGACGCCCACCACAGTCAGTGAACCTGGCTCAGTCAGGGCACCTGGCACAGTCAGTGAGCCTGGCTCAGTCAGGGCGCCCACCACAGTCAGTGAGCCTGGCTCAGTCAGGGCGCCCACCACAGTCAGTGAGCCTGGCTCA